TGATGACGAGGGGGACAGTGATGATGACAATGAGTCGAATGAGGGATCGTCGGACTCGAACCCACCTCCTGTGTGGGAGCTTCGAATCGGTCAACCCAGGTTCTTGAGTGGTGCTCCTAGTCCTGGTGCTCCGTTTGCCCCAAATCCAAGTGGAAGCTCATCGTCACGTCCAATCCGGATGCACTTTCAGTTCACCATGCGAGTGGAGTTGATTTATGACCCGGCGTGGAGGATGCCACAACCAATACCTTGTATTCTCACTGGGCCCGGTGTGACATATGATGTAATGCAAATTTAGTGCAATTCAATTGCGACGTACCATCAGTTTGGACTCTGGACCATATTGGGCCTAGTGACCAAATCTTTGACACTTGGACCCAGATGGACATTTGAGTTGTGTCAACAGTCACTTAGAACTTTGACACTTGACTTCAGAGAATCGCTTGAAGCCTCAAAGGGGGAAGTCAAGTGAGCCTTTGGCCATGAGAGCCAGAAAGTGTAGAGAGAAGCAATGAAGCCAAAATGGTCACTTGAAATGAAAACAAAAAAATTGGGGGGGAACTCTTCACATCCTCACTCCCTAGTGGTCCCTGCCTGTAAAACTTGTCGGCTGGACTGGGCAGTTGAATCGCTAGTAGGCTAGTACAGTCATCCAACCAACTTTTTGTCCAGCTTCTTTTGTGCACACCTGAGGCAGTTGGGACGGCATGCTCGGGATCAAGCGCACCAAGTCACGCACTGACGCAGTTGGTTGGTGGTCAGAACTACAAGGAATTCTTTGGGAGCGAAATCCGTGTGACTTCGCAGAACATCGATTTGTTTTTTCAGTTGCGCAAGTGGAAGGTTTGGCTGGTTCCATTTATGCTTCATGGTGATGTATACGGTTTTTTCATATCATATGATGTTTAGCACTCAGACCGCACATGATTTGCTCATTTGCACCGCTCACGGTTCAGTTAAGATTCAGATTCAGATTGTCCTCCGTGCGGGATTTCTTCCTCTTTTCAAAAGTGTGCTACAGGACAAGTATTGGTGAGTTGAGTTGCTTATCCCAAGGCTGCCACCCGAGATTTTTTCCTGGCAAACTTTGAAGTTGGCTGCCTCTACCACAACATCATTGCAGCACGGCAGCTGGACAGAATTGGTGATCAGTGACACAGTGATCAGTGATTATGATTCTGATTCTGATTGTGCGAACTTCTGAACTTTTGACAACTAAACAATTCAAAGTCCGAAATTGGAAGTGGAAAAGGAACAAAAGCTTGAGCTTAGCTACAAACTCAACACCGAGTTTTGTCCATGCTTTTGGAACCCTGAGTTGTGGCGGGCCATGTGCTATCCACCGTGGACAATGCCCACCAGTAAAGGAGACTATGGACATGTTTTGACTTGACATTCACTCAGTTCAGCACAAACTAGAGGACGTCACTAGTCACGTCACTAGTCACTTGCGTTGATTCATTCTAGAGGAGAAGGAAAACCACTGAGCGTCGCGCAAACTTCTGCGCCAGGAGGACATGGACATCGACATATATATTTCGGGCTTTGTATGCAAATTATTTAGTGCTGAAAGCAGTACAAGGTTCGCAAATGGGAATGTGACCAACTTCTTTGAATCGACAGACACGAAGGTAGTAGCTTGGTGAGACTAAAGTGGGCAAAGAACATCTTGTTTAAGTGCTGTGGCTGTAACCTTGAGTTTGAGTTTACTATCAAGCCAGAGTTGGAGTCATTTGTTCAAGCGAGTTTGGCTTCATGACAAAATGATGTTAGTGAGGTGAGATGTGAGATGTGACGTGTTTCAACATGTCACTGTCACTGACTACCTTCCGCCGTCATTGAGGCGAGCAAGGCCATACCTTTCTTGGAGACATCAAGGTTTGTGAGGCGAAATTCCCCCAAGTGTCCAGTCTGCATTTGTGGTGATGAGTCATAGCCGGAAAAAATCAGACTCCAAGTCAGATTCTTCATTTCAGCTGTCTGCTCAGCGTTGAACATTGAAAGTAAGGCAGGCAGTATGTAACAGGACGATGCAGCGTATGCACGTGTTCGTCCTTTTTTTATCTGATTCAATTGACCTCTATCAGTCAATCCATGATTCATGATCTATGATCTACTGTATGTAAATGTAAATTTAAATGTAGTTAAAAAACGGAAGAATTTGGAATTCGGAAGACTTAATCCACACTTGTTGGGTGATTTTCTTATTTCTAGAAGTTCTAAGTTCTAAGTAGTTCTAAGTTCTTGCCTGCCTATTTCGGGTTTGCGGTCTTCGTGCAGGCTTGTGAGAACGTCGCTGGTCTACGGAAGAGAGCTTCGTCGACTTCAAGTACAGATATCTTCCAGGCCGGTTGACGTCATTGCAGCGATTGAACCATTGCAGCGGTGCTGCAGCAGCAGCAGCAGTTTCACGTCACGTGCCGTATCGCTTTCCAGCAACGCAGCCAGTGTTTGATGATACAAAGTGGCAAGTGATACCAAATTCAGGGATTCAGCGGAGTTACAACTTTCAACTTGTCAAAACTAGAACTAGGCTGAGCTGTAAGTAGTACACGCGGCGGACTTGGAGCAATGTGGGCTTTGTACAGCGGCAGGGATGCTGTGCGTGCTCATCAAGCACCAAGCTTGCAGCGTGACAGTGGAAGTCAGAGTCAGAGTCAGGATCAGGACTCTTTGGAAGCCAATCCTGAGGACTGCGAGTGGTTGGGAAGTTCTGCGGTTTCCATGTGATGTAAACGCAGTTAAATGTTCAATGTTCAACCGCCGACCGGACACAAACCAGGATGCCGGATATCGGATACCTACCATATCATAATAAGATAAAGTAATAATATATATATATGATATGATATGATATATACATTATTTAATTTTATGTAATTTATACGTTATATGTTATATAATATACTATCAGACCGTGAGGATACCACAACATACCTGCAAAAAGCTTTGGCAGGACCTTCCAAGAAAGAACTTCTCGCATGGCCGCACTCACAGTGCATTTTGCAAGAATGGGTGGGCGGCTCGTCAATCCAAGGCCGCCCAGGAGGAAATATGCTTGCAGGCGGATCAGGCCCAGAATGTTGTGAACACGGTCTTTGGTTCTTGTGGTCGGGGAATGAATGATGCCAAAAGTCGGAATGTGCATCCTGGGTGCGAACATTCAGATTCTCCTTTTGACAATTTTTGACATATCATTTACTGTATTTGGTTCTTAAGTTCTTATTTTCTATTGATGAGCCCCTGGCAACAAAAGCTTAAACAACTTTGGTAAGCGTGCTCTGTACTCTGGGCCATCATGAAAACTCAGGCAAAATTTGTCAATCATCGAGGACAAACATGGGAATCTCACGTGGTACAGCTCACAGAGCAGGGTCTCCCAAACAGTGAAGAGGGCCAAAGGATTAGGCATCGCTGCTTATGTTTGGGCTCAGCGTAATCAACTGCAAAAGTGGTTGGAGTCGACGCAACCTTTGCATGCCATCGTGACACGGACCATTGATGACACTAATGTGTGGCTGTCAGCTGATCTTGATACTGACCGTGGGACCGAAGCAATTGAAGACAATGACAAGGACAAGGACAATGTTGCTGCTGGTGAATCAAACGCCTTCCGAATGGGTAGGACTACTGGTAGGATGAGAGTCGGTCCTTTGCTTGGCTACATTCAGCGAATTTGTATCCGTTGCAAGGGCAGGATGGAGAAACAGACTGTGCAAGTTCACACACCTTCCCAGGTTCTCCCCAAGGCCCGGTCTCGGGTTTCAAGATGTTTCAAGCAAACTTTCTAACAAAGCTTTGAAGACAGGTTTCGGAGTTGGGTTCCTGCTAGTTGACCCCTGCAACACACTAGCTACAGTAACAGCGTGCTGTGCTCAGTAGATATCGAGGCGAATGCTTCGACGCTATATGATCGTTTGACCCGGTGGGCTTTGTTTGGCGTCAACGGTACATCCAAACAGCGTGGAGGTGAGCGAACCTGTGCTATGATTGAGGCAGTTCCTCTAAAGGCCATTGTCACAAGTCTGCTTGGATGAAGTTCAGCAGTTTGTATACTGTGAGTGAGCTGGTTAGTTTAGTTATATTATTAGTTAACAGTGTTGTTGACAGTGTTGACACAATTTTGTCACCTATCTTTAAGTAGTTAGTTTAAGTTTTGTAAAATTATAAATTGATTATTCATCATTTGTTTTGGTTTATAGTATCAAATAGATATTTTAAATATATGTTCACATTATATATATATATATATTATAGATACGGTAGATACGTAATACTGAGTTACTGAGCTGTCATTAGTTTTGGAAAGGACCAGGAGTTGCCTGCCAACCAAGGCAGTGATTCCTTGCCAACCAACATTTCTATTGCTGCCATGGACCAAGACAAGTTCCTGTTGCAGAATCTGGGCTCAAAGGGCGTTACCCTGCTGAATACACTATGTTTACACCACCAAGCCGCTCTTTGCAAGAAACCCGTGATTCTACGACTGCCTGGCCTTGCGACAGGCACTGATTTGAACAGTACTGCTGCTACAACCTCAGCTGCTACTACTATGACTCTGACTCTGGCTACTACTACTACTACTACTGCTACTACTACTACTACTACTACTCCCGCTGCTACTGCTACTACTCTTATTCGTACTCCGACTCCTACTCCTACTCCACTACTACTACTACTACTGCTGCTGCTGCTACTACAACTACTACTACTGACTACTCCTACGACTCCTACTACTACTACTGACTACTACTGCTGCTGCTGCTGCTGCTACTATTGTTATTTTCAAACTTCAAGACATAGCTACCTCCCCCTCACCTCCCCCCTCACCTCCCCCAAAACATAGCTACAAGTAGCCTATGTCACAGATTCCATTTTGGAAGGTAGCGGCCAGCATCTATGTCAGTCAGAGTTGAGTCAGATCTATCATCTATCATCTAGTCGACAGTCAGTCTATCAGTCTATCTTATCTATCTATCATCTTGCCAGGCTTGGTGAGGATGGGACATGCCAGCCGCTCATCTTCTTTCACGAGGAATCTAGAGTGTGCCATCATTTCGATTGCCAAATGCCTCGTTCGGCAGCCTGTTGTGGAATTGCCTTTGCGAGTACAGGCATACAACCGAAACAATGCTCACAAGTTGAGTATTTGCAGTGGTGATACGCATGAGTCAGATGTGGAGCTACTTCTGTCAAAATTCAACAACGATTGGGCAATTCCAATCAGATCCTTTGCTGGCCACCTTACCCACTTTTGCCCTCCTGGATGTTGCTCTAGCCAAAAGGAGACATATCACAAGGGGGTTGCTGCTCTTCGGGCAACGATTGGTACGTTCTTCGATTGTCCCTTGCTCTACAGGTGGAAGCATTGGAGTCCAGCAGTTAAATTCTGCCTTCGCAACATGTGCTTTCACAACATCTTGGTGTATGTTTGGCAAGCATGCATGGGCGGGACAGCAAGCTCAGAGGATTTGAGCGCCATACTGGACATCGACTCGGCTGATCTAGCCCCTGCGGAAAAGCAAAAAGTGCGCATGAGCAAAGCTTACATGCTTCTGACAGAGGGGGAGATTGTTGTGGCTTGGTCCAAGTCAGAGTCTACGTTGGTTGTTGTTTTGCTTTCAAGCCTGTAAACATGTACTGTACTCTACACTGATACTGACACTGACACCGATACTGGTACTGATACTGTCACTGTATATTATGAAGCCTGACGGCCTGAGGCCAAATTGGCAAAGGCAGTTGTGTTGACGCGCCCCATTGCGAACTATATGGATACTCTGTCATTGATTGAGACTTTGCGCCACAGAATGCGACTGAAAGATGCAAACCTCCTCCCACCTACTAGTACATGCACGGGTACAAATCAGGACTTGGTCAGCGCCAACATGCGCATCCTCGCGGGTCAAACTGGGTTGGATGTCCTCCACGAGTATTTCTCCATGCTTCAAGCGCCGTGTGATTTAGTGTGGTCTCCAGACTTTGGGCTGAGCCAAGATGATTGCTTGGGTGATGTGGTTATGGCAATGTGTGATTGCTATCGGCGACTAGTGATGCCCTTTGAGAGCTGTCCCTGGCAGTTGTTCAAGATCGTTGACATGAGCAGCGAGCAAGGCCTGCCGTATCTCCATGGGCTTGGCTTGAGATCCAGCCATTGCAGAAAGTGCTGCGATCCTTCCTTTACAGAAGTGCCTTGCCTTGCCTGACTCTTTGGGAGGTTGGTGGTAGCCACCCCATTACCAACGTCCAACGATCCACTGATTTAAAGCCGCTTCTCTCTCTCTCTCTCTGTGTACGTGCGCGTTTGGTTTGCTAAGGTTTTGCTCACCTACATCTTTCATCAAAACGGTCCTTCTGGAGATGCCCGTATGCGCTTTGAAGAAGTGAAGGCATTTGTTGTTGATCTCTTGACTCAAATACCGGCATCAAGTGTGGAAGTGGAAAAACATCATGCTAATTGCCAAGTAGATTGCGCTGTACATCGCTACAACGCCAAGCGTGCTCCAACTATTCAGGCAAACTCATTGATTATGTCAGCAATGTTGGAACACCAAGCTTTAAAACAGGCAGCTGAAGGATGCGCTTTTGGCAAGGCAGCTGGAAGGGTCAAGAGATTGTTGAAGCAGCGGGTTGTTGAGAGCACCGGGCCAAAATGTCAGGGCCGGCTGCGCAGCCGAACAAAGATATGTTCAGACGGCAGCGTGAAGGGGAGAGCAGGACTCTTGAAGGGTGTGACGTCACTTGGATTTGCTTACTGTGACAAACAAACAAAGCAAACTGTATACTGTAAGTCCCTCCCCTCCTGCTCCTCCTCCTCCTCCTCCTACTACTACTACTACGCTACCACTCTCTCAATCTCTCTCTCTCTCTCTTGCACGACATTTGATTTCTGATCAGCGGTTGCCAACATCCCAGGTCAGTTCAGAGTGGCAAGGTTCGCAAGAACAAAGGAAAAACGAGGAAGGTGTCTGCTTTCAACCTGATTGCGCAGAAGTTCAGGATTTGGGGTTGCGGGTTCTCGGCGCAAGGGTTTAGAAGTTTGAAGTTAGAGATAGGTAGACGGTAGACGGTAGACAGTAGACAGACTAGATAGGTAGAGATAGAAATAGACATAGACATAGGTTTGAAGTTGGACGGACTGTAGACCAATACTTTATCTTAAAAATTACTAATTATGTATTATGTATCACTGTATCATATTGTATTTGTTATTTGTCAATTAAACTAGTCAGAGTTAGCAAGTAGCCATTTATCACCAAAATGACTTTTCAAGAACGCATATCAAATATGAATCATGTCATATCATAATTCTAATTTCAAATTCTGATTGTCCTTTTTCTCTCAACTCATCTGCCCAGAGGAGTCGCTATGGTAGTCACAAGGTGGGTAGCTCACCGGCCCGTCAAGCACAAAAACAGATGGCAGCCGAGTACAATGCCCTTTCCAAGGAGGAAATCGACAACCTCGTGCGTGAAGCTGCAGTGATGAACATGTTTCGGGAAAGTGCCAAGGACCGTCCGTTGGGTGAAATGCCAGTGGCTGCTGAGACAGAGGAAGCTCATTTAAGGCCATCTCAACTCCACCGCCTGAATCAATGCCGATTGGACACTTCCTTGGATAGAGTCATTCAGAACCCAACATGGCAAGAAGGGCTAGCGTTGAGCGACCATATTTGTGCACTACGGGCATCTTTTGTCAAAGAATTCGACCAGCTGTCCAAGAAGGAAGATAGCACTTTGGAAGAGGAGATTTTGAAGGACTTCTTGTACGATCCTACGGTGAATGACAACGTTGCTGCCCCACTGTTCAGCCGGCCTTGCTTGTGGACATTTGCGGGCACCTGCGAAAAAGACCATTCCTTTGATGTGACAATGACCTTGGTGGACCAGCTTGACAAAGTGTTGACCCTACGGAAGCTTGCAACAAGGCATGTCCTCTTGCACCTTGAAGTAGAGGAAAGTTCAGCCTCCGCTTCCTCGGCTTCGACTGCCCCCAGGAGCCCTTCAGCCTGGTTTTTATTGGGCTGCATGACCAAGAGGCCATTGACTCATATTGGCATCCGAGTGTGCCCTGTCGGTGAAAGCCGCTTTGCATTCAAGGTGGTCAACAACATACCGTGTGTGGAGTCTTCGCATCGATGCTTCCAAAAGCTACTTCGGGAATATGAAAGTCAGAATAGGATTCCAGATGCTACACTTAAGGTGTCCTGGCCTTTGTTTATTAAATCAGTTGTCATTGTCACAGTGTATTTCTTAATTTATAAAAAACTACTTATAAATCGACAATCGACAAGTCAGTTAATGCTCAACTTTTCATGTTTTAGAGCCAGGATTCCATGCGACTACTACCAACTGGCTAAACTGCCAATGAAAACGTCACAATTTGAAGTCAACAAAGAGAAATGGAGTGGGAGAGGCAAAGTGAGAGAGAGAGAGAGAGATGAGAGACGTGACAGATCTGGATCAAGCCTGTCAAGTAGTTCAGTTCAGGTCAATGGTGCGGTGTTTGACGACATCAAATTCTCCCATGCCGGCAACAGCCACGTGTGTGCAGCAGGACAGCCGCTTTGTACGTTCAAGTTGGGTGGGAGCTTCAACCTGGATGACCACCAACCCAAAAAGGTGCAAGCACCTGCGTTGGCTGGTGTTGCCTTTGGTGGGCTCGCTGCCCTTTTGAAATCATCCTTGCAAAGACCCAAGGCAAAGGCGAAGGCCAAGATTGCCGCTAGAGACGATGCTGGTGCTGCTGCCGATATTGATATCGCCGATGTCTGCAATGCTGGCAATGGTGATGCAAAGCAGGGGAAACGTGGTCGTGATCCTGGTCCTGCTGATTCAGAGACTGAACTCCATAAAATGCTGTGTCAGTGGCCCTCATTGTGACTAGACAGTTCAGATCCAACTTTTTAATTTAAGCCAATATATTATGTTATATTTGCAGCTAGACAATAGACAGGGGACAGATAAATAATGGTTTAAATACTAAATAGTAAAATTGTGTTATATACTATAATTGTAATACATGTTGATCTTAATTGACAGACAATAGTTCAACTTCCATTGCTGGAAAGGCTTACCTTATTGGTAGCAATCAGTGAGTGGCGGGCAGTAGGCCAATCATGTGACATGTGATATTTTACATGTTCAATTAAGGCATTCTGGAGCAGCAGAGCAAGATCCGAGTTGTGATGATGCTTTGGGTCATGTGGTGCTGAGTGAGGAGGCTGAAAAAGAGCTGAGGGAAGCTGATCGTGAGCAGAAGGCTGTGACTGCCGATGAGCTTTCTGCTGCTGCTGAGCTTCAAGTCTCAGAGTCACATGTTCCGGCATCTTCTAGGACTCGGACCGAAGCTTGTGAGAATTCTACAAAATTCAGCAGTCACAAATCATTTGGGATTATCGGGGTTGCCCGTTGCAAAAAGGGTGGTGTCAAATGCTACCATTGCAACACCAGCGTCGCTAAGGGTGATGTGAGGTTTGAATATGTATTTAACCTGGATCGACCTCAGCGGTCCATTCACCCACACTGTCTTGCGCAAATGGATCGGGCCTCGCGCAAATGTTCACTTTCATTTTTGAAGGGCCTCTTGCATGACAGTCTTCCCACTGATCGGGAAGAACATCAAGCATGCACGGCAGCTGTCGATATGCTGTCCTGTCTAGTCTAGTCTAGATAATTAGTACTCAGCTGAGGCAGAAATGGCATAGGCAAAGGCATAGGCTTGGGAAACTTTTGAGACTGTGCTATGTTCTGTTTATGTGTTGTGTGTTGACTATCATTGACTGTGACATATCGTTATTGTTATAAGTTATGATTCTATGATCATCTATCCAGTACTGATTCATAAATGCGCGTTGGATGGACACAACTGATCAGATTTGGTCTTCCAACACCAGTCGCCTATCCGCCTAGCCTATCATATATCTAAAGATTGCCTCGCGCCCTGCACGAATAGTCCAATCTGAATTCAGCTTGGCATGAATGGGAACGTGAACGTGAGTGTGGATGAAGCAAAAAAATGCACTTTTGTGAACAACCCAGGGTGCAGGAGTCTGTGTGCATGGTAAATCAGAGCCAGAATCAGAATGGAGTTGGGAACACTTAGCCAAACAACAGCCAGGTCTTTGAACAGCTCTTGTGCTGCAGGTGCCAATGGACTTTATCCTGAAGGGTCATCTTTCAAGCAACGACGGAGGTGACCCAGAACCAATCGGTCTGGAGCTAATTCCAAACTATGTCATACGGGTCTTCGATCTAAAGCAACTTGGCAGCGACAGTATATTACAGTAGTCTAAGTTGCGGCGCTGGTGAGTAGAAGGAAGGAGTTGTTAGTTCGAGATCAGAGGGTTTGAGATTGAAACTCTAAGACTATGAGGCAACTCGACTCAATCATAGTCATAGACTGTATTACTGGCACTACTTGTCTTTCCTTTGACTGAAAACGGAAAACTGAATTGAACATGGTTGGTTGTAAGCTCTGGCTCTGACTCATTGATTACTCTGATATAAATCATGACCACGAGTATGAGTCAGTATGAGCGCCTAGTACCAGCCCTCAATTTGAATCTTGCCTCCGCCAAGAGGAGCAAATCTTTTGGCCTTGCGCAGACACGATCAAGAGTATACTTTGTTATGCTTCACGAGAGCGTGGGTGACGAATCGACTCTGGACGCTCGCTGTACTAAAAAAATACGTTGCAAGTTACCAGTCTTGTTGAACAAACGGGGACAGTGACGCGGTGTGATAAATTGTGTCCAAGAGTGGTCTGCATGCAATTTTACTCTTGGCATCTCTTGGCATTGGCGTTGAAACATGCACTGGAGCCACCAGGGCATGCTGTGGATGTTGAAGCCTCGACTCAGGACCACATTGGAGCTTTACTTGAAAAGTTTCAGTCAGCC